CAGCTGAGGGACCCGAGACACAGGAGGGACCTCAGTGCCTCTGTTTGCTTCACTGTGAAAAGCAAAGCCTCCCGTGCCCCAGGGTTGTGGTCACAGGTGGGTGGCTGGGTATGAGGGGACCCAGTCTGGGGTCCACCTTCCCTCCCCTGACTTCGGTGGCCCCTGATGGAACCAGTGCCTAGTAGGGACTTCTGGGCTGGAGAGGGCCACAAACGCAAACGTCAGAGCCTGGCTTCAAACCTGGCCCCTTGAGCGGCTAGCCTCAGTTTCCCCTCTTCAGAAGGACGACCTCCAACTCCCAGGGTTGTCGAGAGCGAGAAAGAGTCAGGGTTGGGCTACATCATGGATGCCTGACGCAGCCAGGCCCGGTCCGCTCTATCCGACCTCCGCAGAATGGGTATGCTAACCACTGGACGTGGCAGAGCCGTCCAGGTGGTCATGGACAGCAGGTGCAGAGCTTAGTGAGGTGTGGGAGGGTGGTGTCGAACTTAACATTGACCTTCCGAGAAGCCCATGAGGCTATCGGAGCCTGGCCCAGGGGGCACACGGTACATAGGTGCTTGGTAAATACTGCCGGTACCGATACCAAAGTGTTTAGCCCCCAGCCCAGACGGGTTCTAGAAGTCCCTCCTCCGCAGCTGCTGGGGGTGGGGTGACGAGGCCTCCAGGTCCCTGTCCCGCTCCTTCCCTCCTCTCTCCTTCACCCTATTGAGCCCCTGAGACTCCACTTCCCAGATGAGGGAGCGGAGGCTGGGGAAAGTATGCGACCTGCCCCCCAGTTCTGGAGTCAGTAAGTAGCTGAGCCGGGATTCAGCCTAGAACCGCCTGACTCGGGAGCCCAGGGTCTTTCCACAGATGAGGCTCCTGAAAGGAGGCCAGTGGTCCCAGGGCACACAGTGGGTCGGCAACTGAACCAGGATTGGGCCCTTGGTCTGTGATGACTAGAAGGCCCTTCCTGACCTGGAAAAAGTCCAACTTCCCCCATGTCACAGTTGAGGAAACTGCTCAGAAGGACTTGCCCAAGATCTGAGGGTCAGGGCTGAGCGTGGGTTTGTTTTTTGGTTTGGTTTTGTTTTGTTTTGTTTGCAACAGCTTCATTGAAATGCAATCCAGATACGGGGCGCCCGGCCGGCTCAGGTGGTAGGGCGCGTGACTCTTAATCTCGAGGTCGTGAGTTCAAGCCCCACGTTGGGTGGAGAGATTACTCAAAAATAAGATTCGAGAAATAAAAATAGAATTCAGATAAAAACACAGTGCACACGTTCAATGTATAACTCAGTGTTTCTTTAGTGTTTTCATGGAGTTGTGCCACTATCACCACAGTCAAATGGAGGACAGCTTCAGCACCCCAACAGGAAAACCCGTGGCCTCTGGCCGTCACGCCCCAATCCCATCCCCATCGCCCCAGCCCTAGTTATCACTAGTCTGCAAGGTACAGATTTGTCCATCGAGACATATAAACGAAAGTATGCGACACGTGGTCTCCTGCACCCGGCTGGTTTCACTTAGCATGATGTTTTCGAGGTTCATCCGTGCCCCAGTGTGTCCGTGCTTCGGGTTTTGTTTTGTTTTTAATGTTGATTTATTTTTGAGAGACAGAGAGAGACAGAGCATGAGCGGGGGAAGGGCAGAGAGCGAGGGAGACACAGAACCCGAGGCAGGTTCCAGGCTCTGCATTGTCAGCACAGAGTCCGACGTGGGGCTCGACCCCGTGAACCGCGAGATCATGACCTGAGCCCGTGTGGGACGCTCAACTGACCCAGCCACCCAGGCACGACTGTTTAACCATTTAGGGGACCGCCAGGCTGTTTTTCACAGGAGTGACTCCATTTTCCATTCACCAGTAGGTAGGAGGGGGCCCACTTCACGTCCTTGCCAGTATCTGTCATGTTCCCAAGAAGGTGGCGACAGTGTCTCATTGCGGTTCTGGTTTGCATTTCCCTGAAGGCTAATGACCTTGAGCACCTTTTTTTTTGTGCTTTTTGTGCTTATCTTATTGGCTCTTTGTAGATCTTTCTTAGACAAATGTCCACTCAGATACTTTGCCTATTTTTAAATCGCGTTATCTTTTTACGATTGAATTGTAACGGGTCTTTGTATATTTCAAATACACATTTCTTAAATACAGGATTTGCAATTATTTTCTCCCCATGGCGGTTTGTCTTTCCACTGTCCCAATAGTGTCCTTTGAAGCACAAAAGTTTTAAATTCTTTTTTTTTTTAAGTTTTTTTTTTTGTTTTTGTTTTTGTTTTTGTTTTTTTTAATTTTTGAGACAGAGACAGAGCATGAGCAAGGGAGGTTCAGAGAGAGGGGGAGACAGAATCCGAAGCAGGCTCCAGGCTCCAAGCTGTCAGCACAGAGCCCGACACGGGGCTCGAACCCACAGACCACGAGATCATGACCTGAGCCAAAACCAAGAGTCGGACGCTCAACCAACTGAGCCACCCAGGTGCCCCTTAATTTTGATGGAACTTCCGTTCATCCACCGTTTTTCCTTTCCCTGCCTCAGCTTTCTGAGCGTGGTTGGGAACCATCGGTGACCTCGGAGCCGGGGGCTCATCTCTCCCTGCGGACTCCACGTTGAGAAGCGGCTACCACTTTGTGGACTCTGGATTTGCTAACGCTCAAATCCTGGTTCGCTCCACTGTGGCCGTGGGCAAGTTAAACGTTCTGTGCCTCAGTTTCCTCATCTATAAAATGGGGACGGTAACGTCCACACTGGCCTAAGGCTCAAGTATGTCGATTCGTGTCAAGTGCTCACCACGGGGTCCGGCGAGCACTGTCCAGGCGTCTGCGCCAATCATCGGGGCGCTTGCTCGAACGCCGTCACGCCTGCGGTTCTGTTGCCGGGGTCGCCCCACAAGCATCTCCTATTAATATTGTCGTTGATGCTGTCCCGTTCTGGCTTTCCAGGTGAATGATGTGCCCCCCCATCTGTCAGACGAGGCCGCCGAGGCGCAGGGAGCACGCCCGGCCGATGAGCCCACCCATTCCTGGCGCCCCTGACCTCGCCTCCCGTGTCTCTCTCCGCAGGTTCGGGGCGCCCGCCCCCTACTAGGCCAAGTGGAGGGGGTGTCCCCGCCCAATGGGCCTGGCCAGGGCCCTGCGCCGCCTTAGCGGCGCCCTGGAGCCAGGAGAGGGCCGGGCCGGCGACGAGGAGGAGGCCGGGCCGGGGCTGTGCCGCAACGGGTGGGTGGCGTCGCCGGCGGGGCGGCGCCGCGGGCGCTTCGTCAAGAAGGACGGGCACTGCAACGTGCGCTTCGTGAACCTGGGCGGCCAGGGCGCGCGCTACCTGAGCGACCTGTTCACCACGTGCGTGGACGTGCGCTGGCGCTGGATGTGCCTGCTCTTCTCCTGCTCCTTCCTCGCCTCCTGGCTGCTCTTCGGCCTGGCCTTCTGGCTCATCGCCTCGCTGCACGGCGACCTGGCCGCGCCGCCGCCGCCCGCGCCCTGCTTCTCGCACGTGGCCAGC